TTAAACAATCTGCGAAGACCTCGCGCAGAAATCAGCGAATACTTCCCCCCCCCGCGCGGCTGTGTTGCCCATGCCGTCCGACCTGGCCCGCGCCTGTCCGGAACCACCCCGAGCGCGCCCCAAAAAAACGCACCGAAGGCGAGCAACTTCAGAACAGGCGGGGAACTGAGCGGCGGAACGCCCCCTACCCGGCTCGCAGTGCGCAAAACCACGCAGTGCAAAGCCAATCCTGACAAAGCTGGCGAGTAAAAAAAAAAAAAAAAAAAAAAAAAAAACGGGCGCCCGATACGAAGGCTTCCCAGGTCGTCGGAGAGACATCCTCCTCCTCCTCCTCCTCCTCCTCCTCCTCCTCCTCCTCCTCCTCCTCCAACTCCTCCTGGAAGGGACGAACAGTCCCCGCGTTCCACTCGAATGGGCCCACTGACAAGCGCCTAGCTTTGGCGCTGGTGTGTTCCATCACCCAACGCAAGGATGCAGGCAAACAGCGTATCGCCTTGCTGCTCGTACCTCGAGAAGAGCGAGCTTAAACGGACACCGACCCTGTACCGAAGATTGCCCAGGCCAGGACCGGTGATTTGGCCACGTGACGTCGCCCAGCTCAATAAATTGAGGAGAACCGGCAACGTCACCAAACTCCATGCAGAAAGAGCAAAACATGCCCTATCTGGTTGGCAACACAAAGGCAGGTCGCACGCTTGAGCTAACGCCACGCTTCGTGGACGGGATCCTTAGCCAAACGGGTTCGTAGTAGGGCGTCGCGTGTAAAATGCGCAACCCTGGAGGATCTTGAAAAATAATCGGGCCTGCCAGCCCGGAACCTGTGCTATCGGCGGGAGCGAGAAGAGGACGGCAACTGAAGCAGGAACACGAGGGGGCGGGGACAGGGGGGAAAAGAAGGACGAGGACGGCAACGCCCAGGTCGGCGAGAAGCGAACTTAAATCCACCTGCAGTGCGTGCACGTCGCGCGGCCACGACGGCACAGCATGTGCACGGCGTCCTCCCAGGTCCCACGGCACCCTCGTCCCATCTCCATCTCTCACTTCCTCATCCTCCACGTCCGCCTCCCTCCCTCAAGGTTCACAGAGGGCCAATACCCAATGCCCACTTAAACATTAAGCCCTCAATTGGACTGAACATAGAAATTCTTTACGCTTCGCGTATCCCCACCAGCCCATCTCACAGCAGCAACTCTTGCGAAGCATGCCGACAGTCGTGTTTTTCAGGCGTGTGTCCGCTTGGCCCCGCATATCTCCCCTGTTCCTCCTTCCTCCCGCCTCCTTGTACATCCTCCTTGTGGGGGAGCGGGAGAAGGACGAGGCGGAGGAGGAGGGAGAGAAAGCGCTCCTCGTGATTTGAGTCGTTCGGGGTTT